TTTACGACCGTATGTAGCAAGTGCTTCTAAAACCTCAGTATCGAATATATTCTTCATTTTTACAAACGATTTATACTAAGATGTAGAAAATATAGTATTTATTAAAAAACGTATAATAACAAGCTTTCAATTGTTATAAAACTAGATTTTAATGAATCTATTGCTACAAGAATTGTATCTATTTATAACTTTCACAAACATAAATTGTCTAGAGCCCCACCCCTTCTAAACGTCTTTCCTCAAGCGCCTAGTTTTAACTCCCCTCCCCCCTCCATATCTCCATTTTCTAAGGCCTTTAGTCCAACGAAGGAATTGGGCAACATGTTGTTGCAGGCCTTGCAATGCTAAACATTTAAATAAAGTTTTATTATTTTCTTAAACGTTCTTTATTAAATACTAAAACCCGCATTTGCAATGCAATCGAATAACAAATACTTTAACTGAGTTTCTTCTTCATTAAATGGAACCCAATTACCGGGTGGGGGGGGGGGGGGGTGTTAAAACTTCGAAATCTTTTAAATAATGACCACCATAATAAAGTAAATCAATCAATTAATTAATCAATCCATCAAAAACTCAATAAAATAGATAGCTAAAATATACATAAATAAATATATAATACATAAGTACAAAAATGCATAAATGAATAAATAAGTAGATGCATACATCCATAAATGCATACATGTATATATATATATATATATATATATATATATATATATATATATATATATATATATATATATATATATATATATATATATATATATATATATATATATATATATATATATATATATATATATATATATATACATATATATATATATATATATATATATATATATATATATAAATAAATAAATAAATAAATAAATAAATATATATATATATATATATATATATATATATATATATATATATATATATATATATATATATATATGTGTGTGTGTGTGTGTGTGTGCAGTGGCGTAGCGAGGTCGGGTGTCACCCGGTGCGACACTTAATGGTGTCACCCCCCCCCCCCCCCCCCAGAGGCGAAGCGACTCTTCCCGGGGACAAACTTTCAATTTTCGATTTGCATCCCCTCCCCCCCCCCCTCGAAGTTACGATTTGCACCCCCTCCCCTCAAATTTTTCTCTATATATTTTACTATTTGTTGCCTTGGTGTCACCCCCCCCCCCCCTAAATGGTGTCACCCGGTGCGGTCCGCACTCCCCCCCCTCGCTACGCCTGTGTGTGTGTGTTTTTATGTATGTATAGATTTATGTGTGTGGTGGTTGGGTGTGGTCGTTTGAGTTTGGGAGTGTGGGTATGGAAGGGTGTTAAAGCAGGTAAACGAGCTGAGTGTTGGTGTGCAGAGTGACCGTTATCCCAAGGGTAACCGGGTCTTCTAATTTAGTTAAAATACTATTTTATTTTACTTTAGTCTGAAAGCAATTGAAAATTTTTACTGAATGTTTTTCAGATAAAACCAGCTACCCCATGACCACCTACACCACCTACCCCGCCCCTCCCCCCGCCTACTACTCCAGCGGACCCATCCAACCACCGCCCCCTTACCAACCCGTCCCCCCAGCTATGTCTCCTCCTCCGGCCTACTTCCCCACCGCTGTGCCACCCACCTCCTACAGTCAGGCCAACAACAACCCGTTTGCTAAGGCGGCTGCCCAGGCAACCAGTTGACCAACCCAGGCAACCAGTTGACCAACCCAGCCAACCAGTTTCTCAACCTGTGTAAAAGGGCGCATCATTTGTTTTTGTACCAAACTGAATTGACACATAGTTGGGAAGTTTGTTTGGCCCCCAAAATATTTAAGTTGTTGTCAAATGTTGAAATATCTTAATAAATTTGCTGTGATATTAACAAGTGCTTTATGCAAACAAAAAACAAAAAAAAAAAGAATATTAACAATTTGTGACTGTATTTTAATCTTGAATAAACTTTGAAATTGAAGAATGTTGTTATAAAAGTATTATTGAAATATTGAAACAATATCAATGCCATCGCCAATTAGATCAGCGATTGGCAATATTCGGACGAATAGGTTTGCAAGTTTTATGCAGTTTGACTTAAGCCCTTAGGTAAAATATGTAACAAAGGTCGTTGATTCGACGTGAATGAGATCAGTTTGTTGTAGGGTAGAACTCAATGACTAGCTACTTAGTACTCGTGAATGTGATTTTGAAAAGGGACATGACTCATTTTTTAAAGGTAAGTGAAGATACTTATGTACTGATTGTCTACCCTAAAAGGGGAACGAATTCAATTTCTTGACAGTCAGCGAATATCTGCATTGACAAGTGAGCGACGACCACTTAAAACTTACAACAGGGATGCCACTTTTCCGATTTTTACTGGAAATCCGATTTTTCCTTTTCCGCCGCTGATTTCATTTTCGCCGATTTTTTCCCGCCGATTTTCGATTTTTGCAGATTTTTTACGAAGTTTTCAAAACTAGAAAAAACAATGGAACTGACCTCTACGGTAACTGCCGACATTCCGCATATTTGTATTTAAATCGAGAACTACAGTACTTCGGTTAAACGGACAATCGAATATGCGGTTCTTTTTAGTTGGTCGATTGCGCTAGGCCTGACGGTGCTAGATTAAGATTTAATGTAGGTCAAGATTCAGAATTTCTGCGAATTTCCGAATTTTTCAGAACACAATTTTTATTTTGTGTTTTTTCTAATTCCAAATTTTCCGCTGTTATCAAAAACAGGGGAAAGTAATCTAAAATAATGCAGTTCTTCAAATGAAACATCTGGTTATCTAGCTAACGATATAGCCTAATTTATCTATCGGTATTTTAACCCACCTGAATCAACAGTTTCTCTCTGATTCTATTTGATTTTGCAATCTCAAATTACTAATGAAATCCTTGCAAAAGGTGACAATGAGGACTAGACCAACCCGCCCCTCATTGTAACAATGATGGCTCTTGTGACCTCACCATGACCCCAAGTACGTGTTTGGTACTGTTTGGGGGGAAAAATAACGTCACAATCAATGTCAAATAGCTGTTCCTGCAATACGTATGCTATAGGCTATTACAATAGGCCTACATATTAAAAAAACTGAACTCAACGTGACTCCGACCTTGTTTTGTTTGTGAAAGAAAAAATACTATACGGACTGTTTTTACTAAAGGGTCTAGCATAAATAACGTCGCACTCGTAGGGGGGGGGGGGGGGAGGGAGGAGTAAATCCGTAATGTTGTGACGCGTGATGAGGGTTAGGGGAGGTTGAGATCGTGTTACGTCATACTTTTGTATATTAAAAAAGTAATGTTAGACAGGCTCGATTTTGGCGCCCTGGGCTATCGTGTGAGCGTTATAGCGCAAATGTTTGTTTTAAAGAGTGCGATATATTATAAGCGCTATGCTTTTATGTTTGCATTTAAGTTTGTGTTTATGGTCTGCGCTATTATTTGCGTTTAGGTTTGCATTTGTATTAGCGCTTAATTTGTGTTTGCATCGTGTTTGTGTTCATGTTTGTGTTTGCTTTTGTGTTTGTTTGTATAATGGAATTGTTTTTCCTTACGAATTTCTGTGCATTTAAAAGCTTTAAAATTTTAAAGTATTTTATTGTATGTATATTATACAAATTTAATTTATACTAGACGATACAGTTTCCCGTTGCACAATACGATCCTATTTCAGATATTGGGACGTCTATTTATAAAGTCCAGCTAGAACCGCGGGAGGCTGGTGTGTTTAGCATACACGAGTCAAGTTACCTGAACGCTTGCGGAAGTTTGTGGGTTTCGGGGGTCTTCCATAAATGACATCACGTCTGTCACTAATCATCACAAAATAACCAGACCCCACATTCAAAAAGGCGTCACACCTCAGACGTTTTTGTCTTTTAAAAACACTGACTTCGTCTGAGCATGGGTCTGACAACATAATCTTTTCATAAGCTGAGGTCACAAAAACAGGTCAACTCTACTTCACCTGCCCAGTGTCCTCCCAACTCAAACATGTTTTTGTCTGCGAAAACACAGATTTTGGCTGAGCGTGGGTCTGACCACACTATCTCTTCATATGCTGTCATAACAGGTGAACTTTACACCTACCCAACACTATTTCACCTGCCCAGTGTTCCACCAAGTCTCAGACAACATGTTTTATCTTTAAAAAAAAAAAAAGATTCCGGCCGAGCATGGCTCTGACGAAACTATCCTCGTTATATACTGAGGGCAAAGAAACAGGTGAGCTCTACTTCACCTGCCCTGTATCCCGCTAAGTTCCAATAGGCAAAGGCAACATTATCATCCACAATTTAAAAAAAACAAACAAAAAAACCCTCTGACATGTCTAGAACCCATGCCACCCGCATGGTGAGCTAATGTGCTAACCTCTTAGCTATCTAGGCTCATACTCTCGAGAAGCTAATAACTTATATATTTTACTTATAAGCGGCGTAACAATCTACGCGAATCAGCCCTAGAATTAGATCTAGAATTATTTCAAATTAAATGTATTGTATAATAAAATAAAAAGAAGTGTTAAAACATTGATAACAGTGTTGAAACGTAATAAATACAGCAAACGGACGTATTGTTAAAGTTATAGCCGACAGAAAATTAGTTTAAGAACCCGTTAAACATCTGAATCGGCAACTAAATCTTGTATTGGACCGCCATTTTATTGTACTAAAAATTAAACAAATCATATGACGTCACTATTCCCACAAATTTAAGTCAATGTTTTAAACTTTTAAAATTAATGTGGTTAATCTACCTATGAATAAATCTATAAATTAATTAACTTCTTTAAAAAAATTGTGATTAACAGTCTGTCTGAAAACAAAAATTGTTCTCTACCTACATACTATTTGACAGCTCTCCACATAGCGTAGATCCTCTGCAGTAGTCAATCAGACAAACAAAAAAAAATACATATTCAAACATGTTAACAAACTTGAGTTTTAGTAGTATACTAGACTTAACCGTCATACCTTGGATGACTGTGGGTTTCGGGGGTCATCCATAAATGACATCACGTCTTTGACTTATCACAAAATAACCAGACCCCCACATTCAAAAAGACGTTTTTTTTATCTTTTAAAAACACCGATTTCGGCTGAGCATGGGTCTGACCACACTATCCCTTCATATACTGACATCACATGTGACCTTTTAAAAGTTCTATTAATTTTAATGACACCGACTTCAAAATTTAGCCTTCAATCTCCAAAGCAAATTTTAAACTGCTTTTCTGGCATATCTAGCCATGGCCACCTATAGCATTTTTCTCGTGGTAAACATGGCCTAAAATTGGTCGGAAGTCATGCGTCCGGTCCAGACGCCGTTGTTAGCAACCGACCACGCCTCCAAGTTAGCGAGTAATCCTACTATATCTAGATCTAGAACCTAGATCTAGATAGATAAATCCCATGTATTCTCGAATTAGATGTTCATTGAAGCTAAACAAAGATTTATATAAATAATTAAGGCCTTAAATAGATTCTAGATCTAGAATTTACGTTAAGTCTTGTGACCTAGAATCTAGATTTAGATCTAAATCTAGAATTCCAGATTCATAACTTTTTCTTCATTCGACAGCTGATCTGTAGATCTAGAGAACTGTATTGTATAATAAAATAAAAATAAGTGTTAAAACTTTGATAATAGTGTTGAAACGTAATAAATACAGCAAACGGACGTATTGTTAAAGTTATAGCCGACAGAAAATTAGCTTTGTAACGCGTTAAACTTTTGAATGGGCCACAAAGTCTATGATGGAAGCCGCCATTTTATTGTACTAAAAAGTAAACAAATCATGTGTCGTCACTATTCACTCAAAATAAAGCCATTGTTTGAAAATTTTAAAATTAATGTGGTTAATCTACCTATGAATAAATCAATAAATTAATTAACGTCTTCAAATAAATTTGTGATTAACAGTCTATCTGAAAACACAAAATGTATTCTACCTACTTACTATTTTACAGTTCTCCACATAGCGCCGATTCTCTCCAGTATTCAATCAGACAAACAAAAAAAATAAAAAATATTCAAACATGTAAACAAGCTTGAGTTTTAGTAGTATATAGATAGATAGATAGATAATGTAATGTTTTTATTTCCTTTTTACTTATTCGCATAAAGAGTTAAGAGGAAGTATTGTAATCGTACGCAAAAATCGCATGAAATTTCGACAGTTTTCACCGTTTCACTTTTCAGTTCACCATCATAAACGGAGTATAGGGGACTTATTTTAATCGGGGGAAAATTCTAATCCAGATTTATCGAAATTTCGGCGCTTTATACATAAACGAGTATAAAAAACTGGACATTGCAATTATGTCCGTGTGTGTGTATGTGTCTTTGTGAACACAATAACTTGAGTCAGTGGCGTAGCGAGGTCGGGTGTCACCCGGTGCGGCACTTAATGGTGTCACCCCCCCCAGAGGCATAGAGACCCTTTCCAGGGACAAACTTTCAAATATTCGATTTGCACCCCCCCCCCCTCAAACTTTCGATTTCCACCCCCCTCTCAAGTTTTCGATTTGCACCCCCCCCCCTCAAACTTTCGATTCGCACCCCCCTCGAGTTTTTCTCTATATATTTTGCTATTTTTTGCCTTGGTGTCACCCCCTAAATGGTCTCACCCGGTGCGGTCCGCCCCCCCCCCCCGTCGCTACACTCCTGACTTGAGTACCGTTTCAGCTAGGTTGATGAAATTTCATATATAAGTATTATATTAAATTTTTAATACTGTATCCGCTTCCAGCGATTTCCAATAACCGGAAGTGGAACTTAATCTAATTTTGGTTTTTCAAAAGCCTATAACTTGAGTACTGTTTCAGATAGATAAACGAATTTCACATACAAGAAAAAGTTCTTATTCTCTGCATTCTTAAAAATTTTGAGTAATTTCCGTTTACCGGAAGAATCACTTTAC